CATGCCAGTGCTGACCAGTCCAGCTGGGAGGGACCAGCCTTTGGGGCCCTGAAGCAGAACTAAAAAAAAAGCTCTGTTTGCTGTTCTTTGTCCTTTTTTCTTTCTTAAATAGTGAATGTTTCTTTGCTCTCCCTTTGCCAAACAATAAATTCACTTAAATTTTGAGGCTGGAGACTTTTCAAACTTTCCTGTTGCACTCGAGGCGTTTTCCAGAGGTCCATTATTTTCACACAAAGTATCACTCCTGAAACTCAGCCCCGTTTGTAATCTCTTTATTTGAGCCCTGCAAATTGCCAGTCACTTTTAAACAGCGATATTATTCTCAGGCTCTCTCCTTTTATTTATTGCTTTGATGAAAGAGATGGTGTCAGGAGTGGAAAATGAGTGGAGGCAGAGGAGGGAAATGGGAGAAATTAAGGGAAGGAGTTGGAAAAGGGAACAAAGAAATCGATTAAACACTTTTTTTTGGCGCCCATATCTTTCTCGAGGATGATTATGTTTCGCTGGAAAACATCTCCTTCATTCAGAGTGTTAATATTTAATTAGTTGCTAATCATTAAGTGCTTATTGTGGTTTTCTAATTTGGCCAGGAAACGCTGTAAGTGCTGTTGGGAACAGAAGTAGGTTAACAGGGCAGGTATTTTTGTGCCTCATCTTCCTTGCCCCCAAACTTCCAAGGAAACTCCTTGCTGTGTCTTCTTAGGGGGATGCAAAGGCCACAGGAACATCCTCCCAAAATCCCAAATGAGAGTCTGGGAAGCAGCAAATCCAAGTGGAGGGCTCAGCCTTTCTGCCCTAACGTAGCATTTGTGAGTGTGAAGTGCTGAAAACTCATTTTCATCGTTTGGGCATGTGATATAAAGCCTCAGGATCTGAAATATTACAGTCACCATGGCTACCAGTGACTTATCTGAGGGAGTTTGACTTTTGTTTTGATTTTAAGTGTCTTAATTGTAGTTTAAAAATCAGAATCTAGATGTGTTTTTTTACTTAGGCATGAAACTAAAGGCATTAAATGATTTGCATTATTAAAATATCTATAATGCTGCCTGTCAAAGGTTCTTAAAGAAGGTCCTTAATATTCATACCTTATGTTCTAAATAAAGTTACTCTCCAGCTTTATGGGAGTTCTGCTTCTCTCACCACAAAAAATCCCTTGCAGGTGCCTCGCTGGCTATTTTGCAACCCCAACCCTTTTTTAATTTAGCCTTGGAAAAGCTGTGCCATTCCATACGTGGTGCTTTTCCACACATTCTGCTGCTTTTCCCCCTTCCCCTCCTGTCCCCCAGCCGTTCCCTGCAGGGTCCCACCTCTGGAGCTCTTATGGAAGAGTTTGGCTCTTGGAAGTTTGCCCTGCTCAGGAATCCTGCCAAACCCCCTCGAGTTTCTGCTGGATGAAAAATTACCCAGCACCACCTGCCCAAAAAGTGGGAAAATGTGGGGATGGAGAGCACCAAGCTGCCCCTCCTTGCATGTTGTAAAAGAAGAGGAGGAACACGACAGGCAATGGCGCAGCCAAAGATTTTTCTCCCTTAATTCAATCACTAAAATGTTACAATCTGTCCTGCTCTAATTCTCTCCACTTGTACTTGTGCAGTGGTTGCAAACATGCTGAAATATGAACTCATGCTTGGTAAGCCTTTAATTCCAGCTTTGATGTTTTTAATCATCAGTACAGATTTGGTAAAAATGATTCATTAGCTCGAAACGCATCTTGGATTCCGCGTGACGCCGTGGGGAACGGAGGAGGCAGCGCCAGGGGCCGCTTGTTCTTGGGATGTTCTTTGTGCCTGAGCTGATTCCTGAAGTGTGGCCCTCAACATCTCAGCCTCAGAGGCCTCTGGGGTGTCCAGGTGCCTCCTCTCTGCATCTGGTTTTGGTCAAAACCCGCGCGTTCCTTGCTGGGAAATGTGTGAGCAGAGCCCGAGCTCGGTGAGCCGGGGGCTGAGGGCTCCTCTCCGGGTGCAGCAGCAGGAGCATCTCTGGTGTTTGCCTTCCCTGCCTGGAAGCACTCCTTTAACCCTCCCTGGGACACCTCCACACCCTCCCTGAGCTCCAGGCTTCAGCTTGGGCTCGGTTTCCCCCAAGCTGAGCTCTACCCCGCAGAGAGGATTGAAAGCAATCTGGCTTCAGGGCAGCGGCTGCAGACAAAATCCTCAATCCCATTACTCGTTCCCTGGCTGCAACTGGGGTACCAAGGATGTTACAGAGCCTCTGAGGCTGCTGCCCAAAAGGCATCGCCCTCCTGGCCCGCTGTCGGATTCCAGCTGCCCCCGCCGTGCGTGCCACGGGTATAAAGATCCCTTTCACAGCTCTTTCCATATGGAAAGCGGGAATCCTGTCCCTGCAAAGCCACCTTTGTGCCAAAATAGCCACGTGAGAGGCCCTGCTGATGGCAGGGTGTTGGGATAACCCGCCGTGGGGTGTTGGTGTGGGTGTGATTTTTGTGTCCTGCGGTTTTCCAGAGGAGAAATTCGGGTGCAGCCGCACGCCTGACCCTGCTCCTAGCCGAGCTGGTGAAGGATCTCTGAGCACAGGAACCCCCTGAAACTCCAGCTTTTTGAGGACTCTGACCACACAAACCTCCCTGAAACTCCAGCTTTTTGAGGACTCTGACCACACAAACCCCCCAGAAACTCCAGCTTTTTGAGAACTTTCTGAGCACAGAAAGACCCCTGAAACTCCAGCTTTTTGAGAACTTTCTGAGCACAGAAAGACCCCTGAAACTCCAGCTTTTTGAAGACTCTGACCACACAAACCCCCATGAAACTCCAGCTTTTTGAGGACTCTGACCACACAAACCCCCCTGAAACTCCAGTTTTTTGAGGACAAATGAGCATCCCAAGGAAAATTCCAGAAGCTCTCCAGCCCTGCCTCCCAAGGAAAGGGAAGCAGCGGAATAAACACTTTCTCCCTGTTGTGCTGAAAGGCTTTTATCTCCCGGGGCACGTTCTGAGCTTCGAGGAGGAGACAAAACTCTTCCCAAGTTTTGTCTTCCAGGCTGTTCCTGCTGTAACAAATCGTTAAGCAACAAGTACACGGCATTTGGAGATCTGGGATGAGATAGCGACAGCCTCACAAAGGCGCTCTCACATGTTCAAGGCTTCCTTTTGTGCTCCGGGCTTTTATATATTTATTTTTCACTCTCTGGCATCCTGCTGCTCCTCTTCTTCCTCCTGCTGGAGTGGGAGCCAAGGCCGTGGATTCAGGCGTGCTCCCGTGTCCAGCCAAGCCTGCTCTTATCACAAATCCCTTTTTTCTCCCCGCAGAGCAAACACCGCTCGGTGCTGTTCTCTCACCTCTCCTCCTCCCCCTTTGTTTTCCATAAATCCCTTGCTTGATTTTTCATGCTTTGCATGGATTTTGTTTTGTTCCCAGCTTTTTTTTTTTCTGCCTTAAAATCCCTTTGGTTTTTTTTCCTCCTTAAAATCCTTTTATTTTTTTTGCTGGACATTAGCGATGCTTTTCTTTTGTTTTATTTTTTTTTCCTCCTTCAGGGTATTGTGTAATCATTGGATCCTTTTATTCTATCCTTGTAAATAGACAGAGGAGCCAGAACACAGAGTTTTTCCTGGAGTAGCTGTTCCATTACCTGTTGAAATAAATCCCACATCCAACACCTTTATTCCACACAGATGGGCCAACCCTCCCTGAGCTAATCCTGTAAAAGTGAATTGAGGAAAAGGAAAAAAAAAGGAATATTTGTGCAGGTGAAGCTCGTTATTTGAACCTGTGCTGCCTGTGGATCCAGGGACACCATTCCCATAGGGATGAACCCCAAGGCTGGGAAGAGGAATGTTTGAGATCAGTACCAAAAAAAAAAAAAAAAAAAAAAAGAGGAAAATTCCCATGAGGAGACTCCTGGAGGAGATGGAATGTGACAAAGTCACAACAAACTCAGGAATTTGGGCTCCTGCTGGATCCATCCCTGTGGATTTTACCTGTCCAGCCTGGAGCTGTGGCCAGAGGGAGCATCACTCTGTGCTGCTGCTGCACCTTTCCTCCTTCCTCCCCCAGCAAATCCAGGTTCCAGCGAGGAGAGGGAAAGGGGTTTGACGTGCTGAGAATCCCTCCAATCTCTTCCTTCTTTTTTTCCTCAGGAAGAGCCGGAGTGGACAGACATTTCTTGGCTTGCAGAGTGTGGATAAAGGTCCTGTCAGCAGCTGCCTTTTTGCTAATCCTTTTTATTCCAGCGAGGAATACTCCGCGCTCTGCTCTGAGGCTCTTCAGAGTGCTTTGATTTTAGGGTGGGCATTTCAGACCACCCTACCCCAGCTGAGCACCACCAGCCGTCCCAGTAGGAGCTCCCATGGATTTTGAGGCGCATTCCCAAGCCTGAGGAGCTTGAACCAGCCTGCCAAGGTTTGCTTTGTGCATCCCAGCGAGCTCCAGAGCTGCCTCCCAGTGCTCTGATGGACATCCCAGATTTCCCCTCGCTCCCTCTCCCTAAAGCTTGCAGGAAATTGCAACCCGATAGGAGCGAGCCCTGTCCCTTGTCCCTCATTGTTTGAGGATTGTTTACATCCCCTTTTTTGTTATCCCATCTCCCTGACTCTTCCCTGACCTCGCCGGCTCGTTTGGTCCATTGTGTGTGGCTGTTGTTGTTCCAGGGAGTTCTTAGGGAGGAGGGTTGGAGCAAGCCCCGGGATTACTCAACCCAGCCTACTCCTTTTTGGCTCCGTTGCTTTACTCCACCTAAATAATAATAATAATAATAATAGTGATGATAATTCCCTCTAAGTGTAGACCTAAGTGCACTCTCCCAATGTGGATTGGGGAGCAGCTCACACACCTTCCCAGACTCGGGATAATCTCCTTGGGATTTTTTTCTGAGGTCTCGTTTCCATAAAACATTTCCTCAAAAACACGGGGACCAAGCAGCAGGATGCTCCTGGAAACATCAGCCCCATCCTGAATATTGATCCGTGTGTTTTCTCCCCGGGAGCACGCAGGATCTTGATCCTGAAAAGTCGGTCAGAGCTGGATTAAACTCGCAAACGAATTTGGGATTTCCCACGAGCGGGCTCAGGGAATCTTGCCGTGGGTTCTGGAGTCCTTTGCAGAGCATCCCACAGCCTGTTCCCCTGGAGCAGGGCTCCTGCTGTTCCCACTGACAAGTGCATCCGAGGGCAGGCAGATCCCGGGATGCTGCTGGGGAACACGTGTGAGAGGCACTGGGAAAAGCAAGGAAATGTTTACGCTGGGAGGGGACTGTTGACAGTGCAGCTCAAACAGCTGACGTTATTCAGGGCAGCCAGCGCCGTGCAATATTTTGCTTTTTGCTCCTCTCCTGGGGGTCAGGCAGAAGGGAAGGATCAAATGGGGCTGGCAGGGCTCTCCTTGGCCAGAGCAGGGAATCCAGCAGCTGCAGGCAGGGAAGGTGGTGAGGAGAAGCAGCAACTGGGACTCGGTGCTGTGGCTGAAGTCGAGGTCAGGCTGGACTCTGGGGCAGCCCAGCGTGGAGACACCGACATTCCTCGGAGGTTGTAGCCCCAGGAGATGTCTGGGTGGTGTCTGGAGCCCCATGTGTGCTGCAGGGCTGTCAGCAGTGCCAGAGGATATCTGGAAAACGTGGAAGTGTTTTGTGCTGGGAGAAGGGAGCTCGAGGTGCTGATGTTCTCTGGGTGGCTGTCGAGGTGGGAGTTTGCCTTCCAGCTGCTGCCAGTTGCCGTGTGTCCCCATCTGGCTGGGTGGGTATCTGACATTCTGTGTTCATCTCAAACCAGCCTGTCTCTCTTGTTCTGTTTTTAGCATGGCTGACAAGAACAGCACCCTGAAATGCACGTTCTCTGCTCCTGGCCACAGCACCACGCTGCTGCAGGGACTGGCCTCGCTCCGAGCCCAGGCTCAGCTGCTTGATGTCATCCTCACTATAAATAATGAAGTGTTTCAGGTTCATAAAGTTGTCTTGGCTGCCTGCAGTGACTATTTCAGGTGAGAATCCCATAGGGAAGCAGGCACTTTCACCTTTCCCGTGGGTTTGCTGTCTCCCCACCCTCCCCACCCCAACATCCCCACCACACCCCAAAAGTCCCACCCTACAGAAGCCTTTGGAGGTTTGGTTTGCTCCATGGGTGTCCTGCAGGCAGGTAGAGGTTCAGGATCAGTCCCTCTGCACTCAGGTTTGTTCCACTGCAGCTGCTGGGCCAAGGCAGGAGCCCAAGCTCAGGTTTTGACCCCACCTGGGCAGGTGTTGGTGCTGTTGGAGCCACTTGAGCTGACTTGGAAGTGGCAGTGAGGGCTCCAAAATGAGGCATGCCATCCTCCTGTTCTCTTTAGCCACCACTGCTCTGTCTCTAGGGCTCCCTGCCCCTGGGCTGAGAGCACCAAGTGTGGTCCCAGGAGGTCTGGGAGAATTGTCCCAGCTGGTGTGGGCTGAAAACCAAAGTACTGCCAGGAGTTCCTGCAGCCAAATTAGTGCAGAGGGAGCCAGTTGCAGGGCAGGGAATTCAGTCCTGAGTGAAAATAGGTGTTTCATCCATCTTTCCTCCGTCACAGAATCTCTGAGTTGTGGTTGAGGTTGGAAAAGATCTCCAAGGTCATCAAGTTCAACCTTGTCACCAGCCCAGCGTGCCATGTCCAGGAATTTTTGGACACCTCCAGGGATGGGGACTCCAAACTGAGCTGGCAAATAATTAATCCTGGAGCTGCTCTCCCCCAAATGCTGCTGGCACTGTTTGATTCCTCCCTGCTGGGTGCAGGGCCACTGCCAGGGTGGTTCCACTGTCAAAATCTAATTGCTGAGTGGGTTCCTCCTTAGAACTTCAGTGGTGCTCAGGAAGGTTGTCCTGGGGAACAACGGCAGAATAATCCAGGTTTTGAAAACACTCTGTGGTTTTTTTTTTTTTTCCTGTGGGAAGGGGGAGGGAAAAGAGTGAAATTGAAGCATTTATATAATCAGCGTTTTAGAACCATAACACTTTTGAAAGGAATTGCATTCTAGTTGATGATTTGTTCTTCAGCATGGCAACAATAAAGGCTTTCCTGTCCCTGCTCAGCTGGTGCAGGAGCACACACGTGGCTGGGTGTCCTCTGGGGTGAGGGATCAGGGCTGGGACATGGGATATGCTGGGATTTCTGCACAATGCTCTCATCTGCTGCACGGACAGATAATTGGGAGCAGCGTTCCTGGTCACTGGGTTACAGCAGGCTGATCTCACATGCAGATATTTCCTTATTTAGGTCATTTAGGAGTTCTTGGGTTTATGCTGGACGGCAGCAGGTTTTCTAGCCTGGTTTGGACAGGAAACTTGGAACTCCTGTCTTTTGACAGTGTTCCCAAGATATTCCTTTATTCCCGTGTCGATGCAGGGTCTGGTCAGCATTTTTTGGGGCTGACTCTCACCTTGGAGTCAGCACAGGCAGCTCTGGTGACACCACGGATTTACCTTTCCCATGGACAAAAACACCTTTCCAGGTGGAAAAACACAGCCCAAAAATTTTAGTTTTAAGACCTTTTGCGTGACATTTCATGGATGGCTGGGACGTGTGTGCAGTGGCAGGGAGTGGTGACACTCCATGTCACCCCGTGTCACTCCGTGTCACCTGCTCTGACTTTGACCCACAACTGCTCTGCCACCATTCCTTGAGCACCACGGGGTGCAAACCTTCACCCCCAGCCACCCCTGGGCAACAAAACCCTCTGGAAGGAGCTGGAAATGGCCCAAAAGGCCAAAAAGGGCCCAAAGTGCAGCTGGGAGCTGTGGCCTCCCAGGCCTCGGCGTGGAATGTGCTTCCTGTGGAATTTCGGAGCCTCCCAAGGAGGTGATCCAGGGCCTGAGCTCTGCGTGGCCTGGGCGAGTGATGTGCTCGCAGCTGTGCTGTAACTGAGCCTTTTCCCCCCATTTTTTGTTTAATTGCCTGTCAGCCCCCTGCTGCAGGGGCTGCAGCTCCCATTTTTTCAGGCCTTGGGAAGGAGCCTTGGAGGGGAGGTTCTGCTGGAAGACCAAAGCTGTTCATGAGATGTGTCGCACCTGCAATTTTTGAGCCATTTCGTAGTTCCCTGTGAGGTAACAGGATAACAGAGCCTAAAGGCCTCGCTGCCAGGAATCACTGGCCTCCCAGCACAGGTGTGTTCCTCCCTTGTGCTCCCAAATCCTAAACCTAAGCCTAAAACCCTTCAGGGTACAGCTCCCAGTCTCTACTGGTGCAGATCCCGTGGGATCCTTTTTGGTTGGATATCACGGATTCATTGGTGTCCAGAATTGTTCACTCCCTGCTCTGGCAGCTCTGCCTCTTGCTGGAGCTTGGTCCTGTGGTCTGCTCTTATTCCTGCTGCCAGTGGGATTGAAAAAACTTCTCCAGTTGCTGAATATTCCTCCTCAGTGCGCTGTTTATGCAAGCCTTATGTAAGTCATTGCACACTCTCATTTCTCCTGGCTCGTAGAGATTTAGCCTTGATTTATCCCCCCCTTCCCCACCCCGAGAGAATCAGAGTGTTAAACAAAATCCAATTCCGAGGTGCTGCATCTTTTGCTGAAGCCGGGGGTTTTTTATTTTTTCGTTTGTGTTGCTGACCTGCAGGGCGATGTTCACGGGCGGGATGAGAGAAGCCAGCCAGGACGTGATCGAGCTCAAAGGCGTCTCTGCCAAGGGCCTGAAGCACATCATCGACTTCGCCTACAGCGCCGAGGTCACTCTGGACCTCGACTGCATCCAGGACGTGCTGGGAGCCGCCGTCTTCCTGCAGATGGTGCCGGTGGTGGAGCTGTGCGAGGAGTTCCTCAAGTCCGCCATGAGCGTGGAGACGTGCCTCAACATCGGCCAGATGGCCACCACCTTCAGCCTGGCCTCCCTCAAGGAATCCGTGGACGCCTTCACCTTCAGGCACTTCCTGCAGATCTCCGAGGAGGAGGATTTCCTCCACCTGCCCCTGGAGCGCCTGGTGTTCTTCCTGCAGAGCAACAAGCTCAAGAGCTGCAGCGAGATCGAGCTGTTCCGCGCCGCCGTGCGCTGGCTGCAGTTCGACCCCGCGCGCCGCGCCAGCGCCAGCCGGGTGCTCTGCCACATCCGCTTCCCGCTCATGAAGTCCTCGGAGCTGGTGGACAGCGTGCAGACCCTGGACATCATGGTGGAGGACGTGCTGTGCCGCCAGTACCTGCTGGAAGCCTTCAACTACCAGATCCTGCCCTTCCGGCAGCACGAGATGCAGTCGCCGCGCACGGCCGTCCGCTCGGACGTGCTGTCCCTCGTCACCTTCGGCGGCACTCCCTACACCGACAACGACCGCACCGTCAGCCCCAAGGTCTTCTGCCTGCCCGACGCCGGCGGGCGCCAGTTCCGCGAGCTGGGCGAGATGGAGGTGGGCAGCAGCCACTCCTGCGTGGCCGTGCTGGACAACTTCGTCTACCTGGTGGGAGGGCAGCAGCTGCAGTACCGCAGCGGCGAGGGCGCCGTGGACGTCTCCTACCGCTACGACCCCCACCTCAACCGGTGGCTGCGCATCCAGGCCATGCAGGAGAGCAGGATCCAGTTCCAGCTCAACGTCCTGCGCGGCATGGTTTACGCCACGGGCGGCCGCAACCGCTCGGGCAGCCTGGCCTCGGTGGAGAAGTACTGCCCCAAGGACAACGAGTGGACCTACGTGTGCTCCCTGAAGCGCAGGACGTGGGGCCACGCCGGCGCCACGGTGGGGGACAAGCTCTACATCTCGGGGGGCTACGGGATCTCCGTGGAGGACAAGAAGGCGCTGCACTGCTACGACCCCGCCGCCGACCAGTGGGAGTTTAAGACCCCCATGAACGAGCCCAGGGTGCTGCACGCCATGGTCAGTGCCAACGGCAGGATCTACGCCCTGGGAGGCCGCATGGACCACGTGGATCGGTGTTTCGACGTCCTGGCCGTGGAATATTACGTCCCCGAGACGGACCAGTGGACCACGGTGAGCCCGATGCGCGCGGGGCAGTCGGAGGCGGGCTGCTGCCTCCTGGAGAAAAAGATTTACATCGTGGGGGGCTACAACTGGCACCTGAACAACGTCACCAGCATCGTGCAGGTCTACAACACGGAGACAGACGAGTGGGAGAGGGACTTGCACTTCCCAGAGTCTTTTGCTGGCATTGCCTGTGCCCCCGTCGTCCTGCCGCAGGTGACGAGCCAGAGGTGACTCCGGGGGGCTCTGGGGCTGTGGGAGAGGCAAGGACACAGCAGCTCCAGAAGGTCCCTTCTCCTTCTGGGGAGTCCTGGCACGCCAGTTCCATCAGCAGCACTTGTCAGCCAGGCAGACTGAACAGATGTTACAGCTGGGAAAAGCTTTTCTCTCCTCTTCTCTCAGCCTTTTTTTTTTTTTTTTTTTTGGTGGGGGGCGCATTTTGCCGACTTTTCGTATTTTTAACGGCGTCGCAAACATTGGCAGCTCAGGAGTCACTCAGCACTGGGGTCTTGTTTCCAAGAGATCAGGTGAGGGTTTTTTTATCAAGAGCTCCAAAAATAAAAATCACCGTGCGTCGCTTTGTTGGTTTTTTTAGCAAACAACAACAAAAAAAAAAACAAACAAAAAAACAAAACAAAACAAAAAAAAAAAAAAAAAACAAAAAAAAAAAGCAAAACCTGTGTAACACACTGACCTCCAGAAGCAATAAAAGGACAGTGGGAGCTACAAGAGCTCAGGTGCTTGGATTGGGAAGGCAGATCCCTGTTTTTCAAAGGTGACTTTTCCTTTTTTTCCCTTGCTGAAAAAGGGAATATTTATCCCTGCACACCTCTGGTCTTCACTGCTTGGATCACGCTGCAGTTCCTCGCCCCCTCCAGCTCCTCTAGTGCAGAAATTCTCCCTTAATTGGGGCGTGCAGAGTTTGCAGCACTAAAGCCATGGTGAAAGCTTGATTGTATATAAACAGGCGTGATTATTTGGGTTTAGAAGTGCCAAAAATTTGGCTGCCCTGGCAATAAAAGCTCTGCAGTCGTCCATCAGTGAAGCCAAGAGCTCCTGCAGATTCTGGGTCAGGGTTTTCACCTTTCCCAGCACCTTCATCCCAACTCTTCCTCCAGTAAAGGAGGTGGGTGCTACTCCTTCAGCAGCTGGAAGGTTTCCTTCCCTGCCCTGTGAATGAGCTGCTTGGCATCCCAAAATGATGGGAGTCCCAGTGGAACGTGGTTTTGTTGTTGTGGTGGTGTTTTAAATTAAGAGGTTGGTTGAAGATGGCTCTGCCATTTTTGTAAAATCTTCACTGCACAGAACACTTCCTGAACTTCCCTCTCCTCCAAGCCATTTTCCTTATTTAATTTGACGAATGAATTGCAAAAATCTCTGCTTTTATCAGGAGTTCTGTTTCCAAGGGCTTTGTTTTGTATCTGTGTCAGCTTGATTTGGATGCACACGGTCTCCTTTTGTAGAGAAGCTGTTGCATTCTGCTGTGAAATAAATCCTGGGCTGCAACCTTTAGTGGCAATTGTAATGTCTGGTGTGCTGATGAATCCTTGAGAGGTTTGTGTGAAGCATGAACTCCACAGCTCAGAGATTTTTCTGGAATCCATGGGACCAGAGCAGCTCCGGGTAGGATGCAGGGTGCTCGCATTCTGAATTTCAGATAAAAGCCATGCAGAATTTCCTCTGTTCCTCTGCATTTGCTGCTTTGCCAGTAATAAACTGATGAAAAGGACGTGTTGCTGTGTGGAATGCTGCAGTTGGAGGGCTCTCAGGCCCTTCATTGACTCCTTTTCTCTGTTCCTTTGGCCTGGCCTGGCCGCCAGAAACGCCCGGGATGGGCTTGGCAGAGACAGGAGATGCTGAGAGGATGAACTGGAACTCAGCTCAAGCCTCACAGTTCCAAAAGAACGGATTTTCCTTGCTGAGTGGTTCCACGTGTGTATAAAAATGGTGTTTCTCAGGTTGGTATTTCCCAGGTCGTTCCTCCCTTTCCTGCGTGCGGGATCTGCTCTGTCCCCCTCTGAGGGTGGCATTCCTTCATCCAGAGTGGCAGAGAGGGGGTTCAGGTGGGATGTTTGGGATCAATCCTTCCCTGGCACAGTGCCCAGAGCAGCTGGGGCTGCCCCTGGATCCCTGGCAGTGCCCAAGGCCAGGCTGGAGCAGCTGGGACAGTGGGAAGTGTCCCCATGGCAGGGGTGGCACCGGGTGGGCTTCAAGGTCCCTCCCAACCCAAACCACTCTGGGATTCCGTGGTTCTACAGCACTTAAATATTCCTCCCTGTTTTATTTGAACTTTTCCCCAGTTCCTGGGGCAGCAGTGGATGGTTGGGTGCTCTCTGATCCCTGAGTTTCTCTGGATGTGCAGCCGTGGTTCCCATCCCAGGGATCCATGTGGAGCCCATCCCTGGAATCTCTTCCTGAGGAAACCAAACTTTATTTTTTTATTTTTCCCTTCAGGCTTCTCAGGTAGGTGTGTGTGTGTGCTGGGGGGAAAGAGGAACATCCTTGGAAAACATGGAAAAGCCTCTTTGGTCTCACTTTTAAGGACAGCCTTGCAAAAATGAACGTAATCCAGGTCTTCATTCCTGTAGGAAGTGTTGTTTTGCAGACAGGAGGATGCACAAAACCCTTCTGGAATTCTATTTATTAAACAATTGCCTGCCATGAAGCAAAGCTGGCCTGGGATTGCCATTCCTATTCCCTGCCACTGAGGAGCAGGAGCTGGGAAAGAATCTGGAGGTCTCTGGATCAGAGCACTGCAGCTCTTTGTTGCTGGAATGTTCTTTTTATAGCAAAGTAAATAATTATTTCTCATCAAAAGAGCTGGAAATCTTCTGGCCGCTCTAAATTTAGCAGAGACTCAAATATTTGTGGACCATAAATATTTTGGATCGTAAATTTTGCTTGACCCCTGTGCAGGGGATGGAGCTGTGGCTCTGGGCTGGGCACAACCTCTCTGATAATCTGTCAATAAATGGCTTTGGTGCTTTTGGTGCATTCAGTAATTGATGCTTTCAGGAAGGTTTTCCCATAAATACGGATGGGATTGTGTGGAAACACTTCCCAGGGTGCCCCACGTGGAAGGGAGGTGGATTGGGCTCCTTTTTCCTGAGGAATGAGCAAAGCCAGATCGATGTTTGATTGCACTCAGAGTCCTTTATGGCTCTCGGGGCAGCCATAAAAACCCTGGGGGTGAATTGGGTAAATTTGGAAATGCCCCTGAGCAGATGGGGAGCAGGAGAAGCCGGAGCATCGTTAGCACAGAGCCCCTGTGTCCCTCCAGAGGCTCCTGGGGTAATAATTCCTGTCTCCTCTGATGTTTTATGGGCCTGAAATTGTGCTTAAAACCATAAAGGCAGCGCTGGGAGTCTTGGCAGGGCGGAGAGCAGCGAGAGATGGGGAATGTCTGCATCCCATTAATGGTGTCACTGACCCTCTTCCAGAGGGTCTGCTGCTCCCAATCCCTCTGTCACTTCCCCCTAGCCCAGAGCCCGGATAATTCGCTCAGACGTGGCTGCAGCCCTGCAAGATTTTTTAGCAGCAGTGGAAAAAAAAAAAAATCTCAATGTCTTTGATTCAGACAGAACCAAGAGCACTCCCAGCAGCTCCCAGTTAGCCCGGTGCTGGTTTGGAGTGCTGCTGTGGGAGCCACATCAATCCCAGGCAGAAATTCCCACTTCCAGGGCTGTGATAAGGGCTGGAGCTGCTGAAACTCCACAAACTTTTCGGGACATTTATCACGGCAGGATTATTGGAGCCAGACTACTGTCAGGATAAATAAAACATGTTCCCCAGTGCAGCTCTAATTATGATTTTTAGCCAGTTGTGTAATGTGCAGAACTTTATTTACAATAAATCTTCCAGTTGCTCGCACAAATGAATGGGATTTCATCACTGGTGGCTGAAGGAGCAGGAAAAGTGGAAGTGGTGGAGAAATTCACAGGCTGGGGGTGTTGGCAGGAGAGGGAGGGAGCAGAGCTGGCCTTCCAAGGAGGGCTCATCTCTCCTGGATCCCACCTGGGAGCACAGAAATCTCCCCCCGAGGTGCTCCGTGCAGAGACAGCTCTGCATGCTGATGCTGAGTGGGCACAGCAGCATCCCACAGCCTGCAGAACTTTTGTTTCTCCTTCCCAACTCCTCACTGAGCTCCAGGAACAGGCACTTCTTCTTTTTGGCATTTCTCTGGTTGATAACTCAGCTCCAGGGGAAGGAGATCCAGCTTTTATTTGTGGGGCAGGTACGTTTCTGACTGCTCCAACTGCCAGAATTCCTGAAAATGAGCACAAAATGAGCTTTTCTGCTGGGAAACAGCTGCTGCTCGAGCTGTGCCCAAAATCCCTGTCCCAAAATCAGCCTCAGAGCTTCAGGAAAAGGCTGAGGAGGAAGAGGAGGGTGACACTTCCCAGCCCTGGAGTGTCCAGGGCCAGGCTGGAGGGGCTGGGAGTGACCTGGGGCAGTGGAAGGTGCCCCCCCAGATGATCCTTGTGCAGCCCACACCACTCTGGCATCCTCTGGAAGCAGAAAAACTGCCGAGGCAAAAGTTTTCAGAAGGTTTTACAAGCTGGAGAGAGAAATCAAAGCTTCTTGGCCGGGTCCCTGAGGCTTTGCAGTTGCTCTTTCACACCCAGGCCCCTGTAATTAGCTGAAACTGGTTGATGTGGCTTCTTAAGAAATGAAAATCTCTTTTTTTTTTGGGGTTGTTTGTGCAGGCCACCAGCCCAGCCTGCTGCTGGCTGCAGGGCTCGCACCACATCAGGAGCAGCTGAAGCAGAATGGATCCTTTATTAGATTTCATCTTTATTTTTTCTCTTTTTTTTTGATCATCCGGGTCCCAGCGCTTTGCAAACTGCACTAAAAGTTATTTTCCATGTGGTTAAATGATGTTTGTAAGCAGGCTGCTAATCTGGGCCTGCCCACAGAGCTGGCAATTACTGAGCTTTAAAATTATTTTAAAATTATTGAGGTTTTTTTTCCCCCCCACCCTCTGCTGTGGCCTGGGGTGGTGTTTGATCCTCCTGAGGATGCAGAGTGAGACCCTGGCAGGATCAATGCTGGCATTCAGCTCCTCCAGGAGATTTTTCAGGAGGGTTTCCAGCTGGATTGCACAGGAATGTTTGAATTTCACCAGGGTGGAAGGGAGAAGGATGCCCCGGGGTGCAGGTAACTTGCCTGGGCTGCTCCTTTTTGCAGGATTTGGGGTTTGCACCTCAGGGGAGGCTGCCAAAAGCCTGGGCTCAGGGTTTTCTCAGGGAGAAAATTCCATGTTTTCCAGTTTTCCCCATGGAGAAGGGGCAGGATTAACCCCTGGATGGGCAGAGGTGCCCTCTGTGTGTCAGCCCCGAGTCCTGGGGGGTCAGAGGGACCCTGCCAGGGGATTCAGATGGGATTTTGGGAAGAAATCTTTCTCTGGGAGGGTGGGGGGGTCCTGGAATGGAATTCTCAGAGCAGCTGTGGCTGCTCCATCCCTGGAAGTGCCCGAAGGTTGGATGGGATTGGATTTGGAGCATCCTGGGACAGGGGGAGATGTCCCTGGGCAAGGGGAGCAGCTCCCAGGAGCCACAAAAGCAGGAATTCCGTGGTGGCTGCTGGGTCTCCTGCTGGAAAATCAACTTTAGTGATGCTCCCACTTCATGAAATGAGGGAAACCCAGGAGGTGCCCCGCTCGGTTTATCAGGATTTAGTGCAAAAATCACCTGTGACTGCAAAAAAACCACCCTGAGTTCTCCTCCACGCCTTGAATTATTTATTTTTAACACCTTTTTCTTTTTAACTCCTTCAGTGTGAAAATGGGGCTGTGACCCAGGGGAGGGATGGGCAGAGCAGAGCTGGGATTTGCAGTGGGATGTGAACCAGAGCAGGATCCCAGGAGTGTGGAATGGTTTGGGATGGAAGGGACCTCAAAGGTCATCCAGGCTGCTCCAGCCTGGCCTTGGGCACTGCCAGGGGTCCAGGGGCAGCCACAGCTGCTCTGGGAATTCCATCCCAGCCAGGAATTCCTTCCCAAAATCCCAGCCATCCCTGCCCTGTGGCAGTGGGCAGCCATTCCCTGCGTCCTGTCCCTCCATCCCTTGGAAATTGTGTCTTTCCATCCTTCCCGTGGCTCCTTCTCCTCCTGGACTGTCAGGTGCCCCCTCATTGAGTCTCTGGCAATTCCCACATGGAATTCTCTGCCTTTGGGAAGGCACGGGATGGCTGCTGCTTTCCCAGCTTCCCAAATCACCTCAGCATCCCAGGAACGATCCCTGCATCCTGGGAGTGCTCCCTGCATCCCAGGAATTCTCCCTGCATCCCAGAAATCCTCCCTGCATCCTGGGAGTGCTCCCTGCATCCCAGGAATTCTCCCTGCATCCCAGGAGTGCCCCATGGAGAAGGGGCAGGATTAACCCCTGGATGGGCAGAGGTGCCCTCTGTGTGTCAGCCCCGAGTCCTGGGGGGTCAGAGGGACCCTGCCAGGGGATTCAGATGGGATTTTGGGAAGAAATCTTTCTCTGGGAGGGTGGGGGGGTCCTGGAATGGAATTCTCAGAGCAGCTGTGGCTGCTCCATCCCTGGAAGTGCCCGAAGGTTGGATGGGATTGGATTTGGAGCATCCTGGGACAGGGGGAGATGTCCCTGGGCAAGGGGAGCAGCTCCCAGGAGCCACAAAAGCAGGAATTCCGTGGTGGCTGCTGGGTCTCCTGCTGGAAAATCAACTTTAGTGATGCTCCCACTTCATGAAATGAGGGAAACCCAGGAGGTGCCCCGCTCGGTTTATCAGGATTTAGTGCAAAAATCACCTGTGACTGCAAAAAAACCACCCTGAGTTCTCCTCCACGCCTTGAATTATTTATTTTTAACACCTTTTTCTTTTTAACTCCTTCAGTGTGAAAATGGGGCTGTGACCCAGGGGAGGGATGGGCAGAGCAGAGCTGGGATTTGCAGTGGGATGTGAACCAGAGCAGGATCCCAGGAGTGTGGAATGGTTTGGGATGGAAGGGACCTCAAAGGTCATCCAGGCTGCTCCAGCCTGGCCTTGGGCACTGCCAGGGGTCCAGGGGCAGCCACAGCTGCTCTGGGAATTCCATCCCAGCCAGGAATTCCTTCCCAAAATCCCAGCCATCCCTGCCCTGTGGCAGTGGGCAGCCATTCCCTGCGTCCTGTCCCTCCATCCCTTGGAAATTGTGTCTTTCCATCCTTCCCGTGGCTCCTTCTCCTCCTGGACTGTCAGGTGCCCCCTCATTGAGTCTCTGGCAATTCCCACATGGAATTCTCTGCCTTTGGGAAGGCACGGGATGGCTGCTGCTTTCCCAGCTTCCCAAATCACCTCAGCATCCCAGGAACGATCCCTGCATCCTGGGAGTGCTCCCTGCATCCCAGGAATTCTCCCTGCATCCCAGAAATCCTCCCTGCATCCTGGGAGTGCTCCCTGCATCCCAGGAATTCTCCCTGCATCCCAGGAATTCTCCCTGCATCCCAGAAATCCTCCCTGCATCCTGGGAGTGCTCCCTGCATCCCAGGAATTCTCCCTGCATCCCAGGAGTGATCCCTGCATTCCGGGAACAATCTCTGCATCCCTGGAATGTTCCCTGCATCCTGAGAATGATCCCTTCATCCCAGGAATTCTCCCTCCATCCCAGGAACAATCCCTGCATCCCAGGAATGCTCCCTGCATCCTGAGAATTATCCTTGCATCCCAGGAATTCTCCCTTCATCCCAGGAACAATCCCTGCATCCCAGGAACTCTCCCTGCATCCCAGGAGTGATCCCTGCATTCTGGGAACAATCTCTGCCATCCCAGGAACATCCCTGGATCCCAGGAACATCCCTGGATCTCAGGAATTCTCCCTCCATCCCAGGAGTGCTCCCTGGATCCCAGGAATTCTCTCTCCATCCCCGGAACATCCCTGGATCCCAGGAACTCTCCCTCCATCCCAGGAATTCTCCCTCCATCCCAGGAACATCCCTGGATCCCAGGAACATCCCTGGATCCCAGGAATTCTCCCTCCATCCTCTGTGGAACAAAGCCAAGCCCCGACCCTGGGAAAAGGGACCAGGAGCAGACCCCTCTCCTCCTGGCTGCCAAAACCTCTCCGAGCAGCAAAAAGACCCGAGGTGTGGAAACGAGAATGAATTCCTCCCGGCAGTCGCTGTTCGCTTGGCTCTCTGGAATTTTAGAATCCACAGGGAATGGTGAAGGAGCAGGGCTGGAAGGGTGACAAGGGAATATTGGTGCAGGGAGCCCAGCCAACCCTCTGTGCGGGTGGATCTTGGGGGCTCTTGGGGGGGAGAGTGCTTCAGGTGCTTTTGTTTGCCCTCCGGAAACAAATTAAAGAAATTTTCGCCAGTTCCAAGTGAAACAAGAGAATGTTTTCCTGCTCCAAGCACGGTTTGGAGCCCGGTTCCAAATAACTGGGGAGACTCTGAGGATATTCTTCTCCGAGGATAATGGGAATGTCAACAGGAACGTTAAGTAGGAAGTGTGAAAGATCAAAATCTTTGTGGCTGCGGGCAAAAAAAAGAGGAACAGTCAGCTCGTTTGAGGATCGGAGCACAACCTCAGCGCTGCCCTGGTGCTGTGGGAGGCCCTGAGCCTCGCTCCTGCCTGGGAAAGCTGCGAGGAAGGAGCTGGGATTTGTCTGCCAGGGGTTCTGGAGGGTGAAACCAGCGAGGAAAGGAGAGCACAGCAGCTCCTCCCTGCAGCTCCTCCCTGCAGCACATCTGCCCGGGGATTTAGGAGTTCTGGCAGCTGTGCCCGCAGCAGCCCCGGCCCCGGCGGCTCAGCTCCCAAAATCCCTTCCCAAACATGGCTGGAAGGAGGAGTGGGGGATCCCTGAGCGGCTCTCTGGGGAGAGGGGAAAGGTCTGGGGAGAGGGGGAGTTCAGCTCAGGTGAGATGGAGCCACTCAGGTGAGGTGGGGTAGTTCAGGTGAGATGGGGCTGTACAGGTGAGGTGGAACTGTTCAGGTGAGATGGAGCTGTACAGGTGAGATGGAGCAGCTCAGGGGAGATGGGGCAGTTCAGTTCAGGTGAGATGGAGCTATTCAGGTGAGATGGAGCAGTTCAGGTGAGATGGAGCAGTTCAGGTGAGATGAGGCCATTCAGGTGAGATGGAGCCATTCAGGTGAGATGGAGCAGTGCAGGTGAGATGGAGCCATTCAGGTGAGATGGAGGAGCAGTTCAGGTGAGATGGAGCCATTCAGGTGAGATGGAGCAGTTCAGGGGAGATGGGGCAGCTCAGTTCAGGTGAGTTGGGTCAGTTCAGGTGGGGTGAGAAGGGGCAGTTCAGTTCAGTTCAGGTGAGATGGAGCCATTCAGGTGAGATGAGGCCATTCAGGTGAGATGGGTCAGTTCAGGTGAGGTGGAACAGCTCAGTTCAGATGAGATGGGGCAGCTCAGTTCAGGTGAGATGGTTCAGGTGAGATGGAGCTGTACAGGTGAGATGAGGCCATTCAGGTGAGATGGAGCAGTTCAGGTGAGGTGGGGCTCAGAGATGGCCCCAGCTGTGCTCGAGGTGAGGCAGGAGGCAGAAATGACCCTCGGGGAAGAGCTCAGGCCCTGTCCAAGGAGTGCCACAATTCCCAGTTCCTGGGGACAGGAGGAGACCTGGCCCCCCCCGAGCCTGTCCCTGTCCAAGGAGTGCCACAATTCCCAATTCCTGGGGACAGGAGGAGACCTGGCCCCCCCAGAGCCTCTCCCTGCCCTCACCCAGACCTGCAGGGGCAGCAGCCCCAGAGCCACCCCAAAACCTGGGGCTCTGAGTGCCTGGGATGGTCCAGCAGCCCCAAATTTGAGAAGTTTGGCTAAAACGTGGGGATTTCAGGAAGCAGGCTCCAGGTTCACGCTGGAATTCGATCTGATAAAGCTGCCCGGGGAAACAATGAGAATTAAGGGAGGTTTTTAGGGGAGGAAGCTGCAGCCCCCCTCCCCTTGCCTCCATCTGCATTCCTTCCCAGGGAGCAGGAGTGGAGATCCCATCTCAGGAGATCCAAAAGGGGAGAATTTATTTTATTTAAGCTCCATCTCAGGCACTTCATCTTGGAGCAGAGGCTGGAGATGTTCGATATCAGCACCTCGGGGATGAAATCCAGGACAACTGCACCAATTATTTATCATTGTCCCGCTCCCCGAGTGAAAACAATGTGGATCATCAGTATCTCCCCGGTAAATCTCGGTGATTGATGTGCTTTTAGCATGACAGGCCAATTTTGCGGGTCATGTGCCGTTCGTGTACACAGCCAGAGGGGGATTTTAGGGGAAAAATGGTGTTTATTCCTGGTGGGAAAGGCGAGGAAGGGCTCGGAGCAACATCTGCCAGGAGGGAGGGCTGGTCCTGCCAGGTCTGGAAGAGCTTCCCGAGATGGTATCAGCTCGGCTGGAAATGTTAAGTGCAAGTTGGCAGGCAGGATTTAGGGCAGGACGTGACTTTGTGGCTAATCCCGAGCCTGGGATGAGCGCTGAGCCATCCATCAGCCGGATAATTGTGGGAAACGCTGAGAAATCGGGGTTAAAGCGGCTCTGGGGTGGGCACCGCACCGGGGACACGTTGGGGACATTCTAATCGAGGGTTTCGTTTATTCTGCGCAGGTTTTTCTGCAGAAGTTTTCCACAAATCAAGCCCGAGGAGTTTCAAAGCTCCACAGTGGTTTTTTTTTAGCAAACAAAAAAAAAAAAAAAATCGCAGCTCCTGGGCTACAAGTCACCGGGTTCTTTATTAATGAACGCTCCGCCTTTGCTTCATCGATTTTCTCTCTTCTCGTGGTAATTAGTGCTCAGGCTCAGCTTTTCACCTGGCTGGGGTTCCGCTCCTCATCCCCCTGTGCCCGAGGCTGGCACGACAAAGGGCACGGGGACACAGCAGGGGACAAGGAACAGCCGGGTGACAACGGCAGGAGGTGACAACTCCGCGGGAAGACCCCGAGGATGAGATGAAAGCCCACTCTGTCCTTTCGTGCTTTGGAGCTCCCGGGTCGCTGATAAGGCAGGAGCCAGCTCCCAAACGCCGCTCATTATCTGGGGGAATTGTTAATTATTGCAGCATCCCCGCTCTGCTTCACAGCCCGGTGTGAGCCCCAGCTCTGCTCTGCCCATCCCTCACCTGGGTCACAGCCCCATTTTCACACTGAAGGAGTTAAAAATAAATAATTCAAGGTGTGGAGGAGAACTCGGGGTGGTTTTTTTGCAGTCACAGGTGATTTTTGCATGAAATCCTGACAAACCAGGTGGGGCACCTCCTGGGTTTTCCTCATTTCATGAAGTGGGAGCATCACTAAAGTTGATTTTCCAGCAGGAGACGGAGCAGCCACCACGGAGGGACAGGGACAGAGGGACAGGAATGGGACAGACAGAGGGACAGGGATGGGACAGAGAGGGGAACAGGGGCAGGGATGGGACAGAGAGAGGGACAAGGAGAGGGGCAGGGGCGGGGATGGGGGCAGTAATTAGGATCGGGGACAGGACCGGGATGGGGACGGGGACAAGGCCAGAATGGATATCGGGACAGGACCAGGACTGGGATGGGGATAGGAACGAAGATGGGGACAGGACCAGGACCAGGACCAGGACAGGATCGGGACAAGAACGAGGATCGGGACAGGACCAGGACTGGGATGGGGACCAGGACAGGATCAGGATTGGGATGGGACCAGGACAGGACCGGGACAGGACCGGGACAAGGACCAAGATACGTCGCCGCCGCCGCGCAGGCGCCCTGCGGCCGCCCCCCCCTCCCTGGGCCGGCGCATGCGCGTCGCCCCCCCTCGGCCGCGGGGAGGGGGATGCGGACGGGGGAAGATGGCGGCCTCGAACAACCCGCGGAAATTCAGCGAGAAGATCGCGCTGCACAACCAGAAGCAGGCGGAGGAGACGGCGGCCTTCGAGGAGGTCATGAAGGACCTGAGCCTGACCCGCGCTCACCGGGTGAGCCTCGTCGCCGCCGCCCCCGGCTGAGGCGGGCGGGGGGGGCTGTGAGGGGCGGCGCCCCCCCCGCGGAGCCCCTCGGGCCCGGTTTGGCGGCACCGGGCCCGGCCCGCGCCGCCCACCGGGCCCGCAGCATCCTCCGGAGACCGACACCTGCCGCGGGGGGAGGCCCCGGTGCCGCCCGCCGGAGGGTCGGGGCAGCGGCATCGCGGCACGGCCGGAGCGGGCCCGGCGGGGAGGGGGCTGCGGCGGGGGCACCCCCGAGTCCCCTGCCAGGGGGCTGAGGGGGGGTCCCGGTTCCTCACACCGGGCCGGGCCCCGGCTCGGAGGGAGGGGGATCCCGGATGCTTTGCCGGTGTCTGAGGGGAGATGCCAATTGCATCAGCCCGGGACAGGCCCGGCTCTGAGGGGGATCCCGCTTCCTCCCGCCCCGCCGGGAGGGATCCCCAGATCCCGGCACAGGCCGGGGGCTGCTCTTCGCTCCAGCTCCGAGCAGGTGTGGCGGTTTCTTGGCTGGACTGTGCGGTGGGCTCCTGCTGCCTGAGCCGGGGCAGCCGCGGGCTGGGGTCCCCCGGAGCCCCCCGGAGCATCCCCCGCTGCTCCGCGTGAGGAGCGGCCGCGGGCGGGAGCTGCCGGGCTCGCCGTGGCCGGTGTTGTTCCCGTTACGCTCCGGTTGTCGTAGGTGCAAATTGCTGCGCTTCCAAAGCCTCCCTTGGCTGGTGATGTCTCTGCAAAGCCCATCAGCAGAAATTCCCGGCGTAACCAATGCGAGATGCCTTCCCTGGTCCAGATTCGGGGATGTCAGGGCTGTTCTGTTCTTGTCTCACCTGCTTGTGTCAGTGTTTTGTTTTTAACTGTTTCAAGAAAATTTACGAGCCTGTTTGCGGCGGAAGCTTTGCAAGAACAACAGAACAGCACGGTTGGATTTGCAGGAAGAGGTTCCCTTTTATTCCTCTGTGTCAGGAGAGGGTAAATATTTGTTTTGAATCGGTGGTGCTGCTGGTTGGATGGAAAGGAAAGGCACCTGCCCGGGAAGGTGTGGGGCTGGAGCTCATGCTCACCTGGATGTTGGATGTTCCTGCTGGAGTTAGTTGGCACCAGAGTGAGGATGATTTGGAGGTGTTTGTAGTCACTGGAATCATCTTGTGTGGCTCGGTATCCTGGGATTTTGCCTTCAGTGGTCAGTCCTTGCTGCCACTCCAGGGCTGGGTGTTCCTGAGGGACTTCTTGCAATCTGCAATTACAGGTTGTCCTTCAATTAACTCACACGTTGAGCTCTCACCTTCTGCAGGAGGAGTCAGAATCCAGATTCATTTCTCCTGAATCCCATTTAATTTTCTCCCAAATCCAAGCACTCCCAACCCATGTTTTGCTCTTGGAAACCCATCACACTTTCAAGAACCGGGTTTTGAGGAAAGAACCCAAGATGAATAACTTTTCTGAGCACTCTGGGTACTGAAGTGATGGAAACACTGAGCAGAGAGCTGAGTAAAATGTCTCCTTTGTAGACTTTTTCTTTCAAATTCCATGATTTCATCGGGGTTTAAAATGCAGCATAAAAGCAAAAAGGGGTTAAGCACAACTTTGCTGTTTGCTCTCATTTTCATTTGGCAAGCAGCACGTTGCTGTCAGTTTGAAAACGCCTTACTCAGTTGGTGGAAGCAGCCCAAAATTTCTCTTGCCTTTTCATTATTAGTAATTGTCTTTTTGCAATGTTTACCATCTTGTCTGCTTTATTGTTGGTTACTGCTCAGAGCAGAGCCACAAATTCTCAATTTCCTTTCTGCCGCGGTCGTCTTCCACCTATTCACAATATTGAATCCACGTGAGATTTTTAAATTCTGACCCACCCCCTCCTTTACTCCCCTCACCAAAAAAAAAGAAAAACAACCCAAAAATCATTTGAGAAAGAAGAAACTTTGTTTTGCAGAGGGTTTCCCAGTGGCGTGGAGCTGCTTTGCAGCTGGCACGGTGGATTTTTGGCATTTCAGCTCCCTGGGAGGCGCAGCGGAGGTGGGTGGTCGGTGGAAGCTCTGGAGCTGCTTAATTGTCTTGTGAGTGGGACCTTGGTGTTCATAATCCAGAGCTTTCTGCCAGTCCCATAGTAACAAAGTGGGTGAGGACAGGAGAGGGGGAGTTATTATTTTTTTTTTTCTCCGTGACATTGACTCCTGTTTTTTTGTTTGTGGCTCTCCTCCTTCCTTTTTTTTTTTCCTTTTTTCTGTAAGGTTTGGGATTTCAGGACTGCGCTGATTTCTGGGCTTGTTTACCAGGGCTTGTCTCAATTTCTCAGCCCAGGGATGCTTTGATGCAGCTATTTACTCATCCAAGGTTGTTGCTGCCCTTTCAGATTGTAATTAACCAAAAAATTAACGTGCGGATACTGCTGAGCCCTTCAATATGTGACTTTTGAAATGCTAAAAAATGTAAGATTTTTAAAGACAATTTGTGACTTGCATTTTAAGGATTGTTCTTGTTGGAGATTTTCTCAAGTTTCCAGGATTGCTTTTTTTATTTTAATATTCACTTAAAGTTACTCAATTTTGAGGGCTTTCAGCCAGAGCTGTGTTTGAGCTCCCTCTGATGGGCCTTGCAGTGTTACCTTGGAAAAAAAAGACCCCCCCAAACTCCAAAAGCTGCCAGTGGGTGCTGCCTGCCAGCCCCACCTGTCCTGGAACAAACCCAGGGAATTAAACCCAGGTTAGTGGTGATGTTTGGAGACACTGTGCAAAATTTCATCACCCTTTGCTTGTGTATTTTTAGGTGTTATCCAAAGTTCTGAGTGGCTTTTGTTGAATTCCTGAAAACCATGTGAAGTGAAAAGTTCGTGTTTATCTTTTAATTTCAATACAAAATCCCGTTGTAGTTTAATTTTGTCAAGTGGAATATGTTGTAATAGCACAGATTCGATTTTTATTTGAAATAAAAATGAAGTAAAACCCCACAGTTCGTGATGGAGTGTGTGTAAAACCCACACACATCCCCCTGCCACAAAATTTGTACTCAAAAATGAGGCACTCAGTGGTTTTCTGGTTCCTGTAGAAGAGATCAAAATGTCTCTTTGTACATCCCCAGCTCAGCGTTGAATGTAGATAATATGCAAAACAGTATTTAAAAGCTTAGTTAAATCAGGAATGCTAATCTGCTTTTAAAAATGAGAAGCACTAATGATGATGATGATACAGAGCTGCAGCGGTTCCTGATGTCTTTAGCAGGTTTTTATTAAATAATGTGATACAAAAGAAATTCCTGGTGACGTAAGAGTGGTTTTGAATGTCTGAGAGATATTAAAGAAATGCATCAAAATCAGGACTGAGCCTTCCTAGCACACAGATTGATGCTTCCACCTGGCAGCTCAGCTTCAAAGTGAGTTTCTCTCAAACACAAATGTGAATTTTTCAAGCTCTGGGTGTGTTTTTTTCTCCATTAACTTCCCCATAGTTTGCACCCTGAGTTCGCACATTTCCAGACCAAGACATGAGTGCTTTGTGCTTCATCCGCGCTCACCACTGCTGAATTTCCTCCTCTGGTGAGTCCCAGGATCACTGAGGTTGGAGAGCCCTCCCAGCCCAGCCTGTGGCACATCCCCAGCTTGTCCCCACCCAGTGCCACCTGCACCCTGGGGACTCCCACCCCTCCTGTACCTGAGCACCCTTTTCCTTGCAGGAATTCCTGCTGGGGTCCAGCCTGGAAAGCTTGAGGCTGTTCCCCTTGTCCTGGTACTTTGTGGCCGTCGTGGAGCAGGACCCCAAGCAGAGCAGGAGTTCAGAGCCCCCAGAGGTGCTCAAGGTGCCAGCACCTCGGGCTGAGCCAGCAGTGCCCTTCATTCTTTGAAAGAATGTTTGTAAATCAGCAGGGTGAGAGGCAGAGGGGACCTGCCAGGGCACAAAGAATCTCTGTTCTTGTGCAACCCTTGGCTTTCCTCAGCCTGCCTGAGCTGTCCAAGGTAAACACAGAGCTCTGCTGTGCCATCCTGGGAAACTGCACTGAGCAGGGCAAGGTTTCTTCTGGCAAACCCAGGCAGCTTTTGTTAGATTTTTTTTTAAATTTATTTTTTTTTTTAAGGAGACAATGACTTTTTTACTGATTGTCCCATCACTCCCACACAGCACAGCTGCTGTTGGACAAAGTCTTTCTGTGTGCAGTGGCCAAATCCCTCGGTGTTAATGATGTAGCAAAGCTGGGAAGGCTCTGGGAGCACGTGAGGCTGAATTGTACAACTGCTGCATTTTGGGTGTTCGGTTGTAATTCTCAGGGTGAACATGTGGGACTCAGCTCTGCCTGCTGCTTGGGTTTTATTTAGCATCAGCACTGGGTGGTAATTTGCATTTATAGAAGGTGCTCATTTAGGAAGAGAATTTGTTCTCAAGGTGAGGTACAGTCAGTTCTTCCAGTTCTTTGGGGTTGATTTGGGGTTTTCCCCTCAAAACAAGCTGCAGAGGGGAGCTGAGCCTGTGGTTACACTGAAAAGGGGGAGGTGTGGATACCAAATCTCTTGGTTTACCAGTCAGAAATTGAAATTTGTGGTGCAGTCTTTGAGTTCCAGCTGTGACTGTAGAAGTGCCAGAGGTGCCAAAGGCCTCGGGGACAGGAGGGGCTGGTGCTGAGTTAATCTGAGTTCTGTGCTGGCCAGGGTTGAAGCAGGATCTCTGCATGAGCAAAACACCACCCCACAAAGCACAGCCACAGCAATTGTGCCTCCAGGTGATTTTTAGGAGTATTTGGTATTGAAAAATGATTTTAGGAGCAGTGTGGCCTGGGGTGAACTATCTTCAGGTGAGGTGGAACGGAAAAGGAGCTGTTCCTCCCAGCACAGAGGAAGAGGAGGGGAAACCCCAGGGCCTGGAAAGCCCAGAGTGTGGTTGTGGTTGTGTGAGGACGTGGGCTTGGGAACCATTTTTACCTGTTCTTGGGTTTCTCCATCAGATTGGTTCTTATCAAATTCTTTATCAAGTAAACAGCATTTTTATTTTTCTGACTATCTCAGAAACAACGTTTAT